CTCAGAGGTTGGTGTTGCAGACACAAGTCTCTGGAGAAGAGAGTCCCTGGAGGCACGCAGGTAGCACATGTCAGCTTGTCCTCTTAGGGTAAGGAACGTTGCCAAGAAAAAGGCTTCACCTCCTCCCCTCCCACATTATACCCATCTAACCAGTGGCTGATAGCAGCATCAGACATACATTAGCATGGCCCTCAAGTTAAATTAAAATACCTAAAAAAGCAGACTCTGTCCAAAGCTTACCTTCTACGAGCTGCACAGAGGAGTCTTAGTGTTGCTCCTACTGTCTTGTTCAGGAATCATAATAGTCCCTGCAACCAGGTTAGTTTGGTTGTAGTTGAAATTACAGAATTTCTTTCTTAAAATTATAAGTGTAATGAACAAGATACCTTGAACATACTAAAGATATAAGAAAGTGTTGAAAAGGGAGCAGCTGGCTAGCTGAGCCTGAATCAGAGGGTTGCAGGTGAAGAAAACTTGTAACAGCACCACCATGTTTGTTTAATGTCTTTATTACTTTAGAAATTTAATTTAAAAAATTTTAATTAAATCACATGAGTAATAGCAAAGTATGACACAGTTATGCAGGCTTCACCCTGAGGAAACACATCTGAATCTAACCTTTCGTTTGGAAAGGAAAAAGGCAAGATTAACCTTACCTGGTGTGTCTTCTGTTACTAGAAGATAATGACTTGCTCGAAAGCAACGTCCAATTACTGTATCTTAGCTGTATCTAAGTAATCTACAGGTGACTCACAGAACCTCATCCAAATGAAGGTATTTTTATGGAAAATTGAAAGAGGATTTGAGCTATCAGAGCCTACCTCTGAGGTGACTTCTGGCACTACAGCACCCCTGCTGTAGAAAACATCTGGCCATCTTTTTTGGTCCCACTAAACAGGATGGTTTCAGTTCACATGTCCTGCTGAGAGCGGAATTTTTCAGGAAAAAACTGAAGTCATCCATAGGTCAAAATCAGCACCCTGATGTCTAGTGGGAAATGCAGAGGCAGTCAGGATAGAGAGCACAAAGAACTATATTAGGTAGTGCCTTCTGCTAGTCAAAGAAGTAGCACATTTAATTTAGCATATCCAATTAAAAAATGTATTCAGTACTGTTACCTGTAGCTCTTTTATACAAAATGAGAACAGAAGGGGAAACACGCATTTTCAAAATGAGCTGTTTGAGCATTTGGCATCTGTGTGTGTTTGGTCAATGTGACTTTAAGCCTGTCTTGTCACCACTTGGTTTCCTACAGTAGTAGGGGAAATAGTTTGCTTTTCCATAGTTGTGAAAAACATAGTTTTGAAATATCTGCCATGATGGTGGCCAGATAACTACAGAATATGAAAGCTGTCATAGTAACAAATTCCTTGACATTGTTTAATCTGCCCTGGTTTGGGTTAAACCAACACTTCAGAAGTAAAGAAGTTGTGCATCTCTTCATAGTCAGTGCATCTCTTCACACCATTTATCCCTTTCTCTTTCTACTTTTGTATCTTACTTTAAATTTCTACCTTTTTTCTTGGGTACCCTTTTATCATGCCAGTTATAGCACCTCACTGGCATGTCTGTCAAGTACACTAGTCACTGAAGTGGCTAGATAAGGTGGTAAGAAACCTGTTTTACTCTGCAGGGGCTTACTTTGTCTGACCAAATGACAATGGTGGCCGGCCGAGAAGGTGGGCTCAAAATGCTTGGAAAATTGAGTTTTGCCAACATTGAAAATTCTTTCGGTTAGCCAAGTTGCGGAGATACTCTTAAAAATCTCACAGCATTGGGAAGGCACTGATGCAATAAAAGTGAGGAGGATTTTGGTGTAACACTGTAGTGATAATAGTTAGCTTCCTGTGTAGGAAAAGGATTCTTGAGACCTCTTATATGAGCAGGGAGAAAGGGAGGGCTGAAATCTTTGCAGGGCACACCTGCCTGCTTCAGTAGGAAGGACTGCAAACTCAGGAAAGAGCCTCGTCCAGGGTGAAGGTGGAGGGGCCTGTTCTCATCTGCTGGTGGAAGCCATGTAAGTTGGCATCAGTCACAAGTGAATAATATGAGATGAAACAAACACAGTGCATCCACACCCCAGGCGTTACTCAATTTAGTGGTTTTCATGCTACACAAATGGTATGCTCATGTCTGCTTTGCGTTCACCACAGAGAGGCACCGATTTCACTTCTTACTGGAAACCTCTTTGCCGTTAAGTGGATATTTTTAATTCTGTTTCCTAATTTACATTGCAATTAATAATTTGTAGAGTAGAGAAATATGCTGAGCTGCTGTAAAGTATAGTGGACTTTATACCCTCCATTTACTAAAAATCATTTATTCCCCTGACATTAGACCAAAGAAGAAAAAGAAAAATCAGAAAAACTCATATTTTTGCAGAAGGGAGGTACTACATTCCTTGAAATGCAGGTAAAAACAAACAGTACTTGCTTGAAATGCAGTCACATAGGATGGCAATTAGTTATTATTTTATTACCTTTTCTCCTTTCCAAGCCCTCCCTTTTTTATATTTTTGAATTATTATTTCATAAGTTTCAAACCGAGATGTAATCTGGGGACCAAATTCTGTGGAATGTGTCCCCTCCACAGCTTATGGCTTCCTAATAGAGACTGATTTCTCTGCTGGTTAGAAATCTACTTGCGCGGTGCTGTTTGTGGATGTTGTTTGCGGTTGTGCATGCATTCCCAGCATAAACCTCACTGAGAATGTTATGGTGAATGGGGCACTTCTGTCAGTAGAATGAATTTCCTTTATGCTGTCAAATGAATTTAGATTATGCTGAGTGATGGTGAACTTTGTATTTTTATTGGTTTTTCTATTAGCCAAGTGTGATAGAGAAGAAGCTGCAGGAAGGAGAATCTGCTGGCTCTTTGGTTACTTCTCATCAAATCATTATCCAGAAAAGTATCCCATCATCCCTAGAGGTTATTTTTAATTCATTTGATTTTAAACTACCTCAGTTGCTTAGTTAAATCTAGAGTTATGGTCTTAAGGTCAAATAACTGGATGCTAATTGCATAGCCAAAGCAAATCACATAGCATATTCGCATGAGGAGAAAAAAAGACACTGCAATTAAGATCCATTCAGAATCTTTAGTCGTATGTTTAGTTTACACAATTTGCTGTGTTGTACTGCTCGGTTTAAACAATCCTGAAGGGGGTTGATGTTATTCTAATGAAAACAAGGAAATTCAGTGCAGGCTACAGCTATATACAAATGCATACTATTCTAAAACCTCATCAACAGTGTGTTTGTGACAACTGGGGAACAGTTGAATGGGCTTATTTGCCCTATTTTTGTAATTTGTTTTTGACTGTAGCATTATGAACCACTGTGATATGTGATTTTTAACCCCGGGATGATTCCAATCATCATTCTAAATTATGTGCTGAAATGCTGTTCTGCTTCAAATGAATACAGAAGTAGTGTGGTAAAAGGAATTTTTTGTGTCCACATTATATGGGCCTCTGAGGGGAGAGAATAAGCAAAGAAATCATACTTTGCCTAAGGTGGTTCTGTTTATTTATTTGATAACTGCTCTTAGAGGTATAATGGTAAAAGTTATTATATGCTTTCAGGAGTGGCAGCAATGGTTTTTTAAAAGTCTCATGCTTTAGTGCTCCTGAAGTACAGATAAACCTTCAGATATTCTAATTTAGCTTTTATATCTCAAATATAGGGCACTGAGGATTGGGTTATTATAGACAAAATACCCTCTGAGATAGTTGACGAGGAATCGGGAAAAAATCTGGCATACAAAGTAGTGACTGTGAGCAGTAAAACTGCCTTTCCACCTGAGGTATTAAAATCCAGTACCATTCTAATGCAGAGCTTTGAGGACTTGGAAAGTGAAATACAATCCAATGAGGAGAATAAGCAGAAAATGTTCACCCTAGGAAAGTCCTATGATACCGTATCTGGGAAAATTGTAACTGTGACAAGTAAAGCTAAAGAGGGCGAGAAAACAGTACAGCCTTCAGTAAAAACTTTGCAAAAAATGGAAAGGGAAGTGCAAGAATCTGTGAAAATCGTTCCAATAGTGGCCGAGTATGAAATCCTCAAGCCTGTCACTGATGAGAAAGCCAGGCGGGGATCCGACGTGCAGAGCACGAAAAGAAAGCTGTCCGACTCCCTGACACCCATAAAGGAAGCAGAATCTCAGTTGCAAAGTCCTGAAGAGGAGAGTTTGAAAAAGACACTAAGGATGGACCAGGATTTGCAGTTACATGGTACACTGGGAAGCTTACAGCTTGGCAAAGCAGAAAAACACCTTGGCAGTGAAACCGTAAAAGCAGGGGCATTTGCCCGGACAGATAAGAGCCTGTCTGAGTGGAGATATTCCAGAGAACAGCCATTTACCATTGCTACTGCTCACTATGTTACCGAGTCGTCTTCATCAAAAGTAGTGGTAACAAGTGGCTTTGACTTCATGCCACGATTTAAAGATAAAAGCATGACTTCTTTTAGGCAATCCCCTCACACCACCCTACCTTTCGGTCCTCTTGCTGCCTGGCTTTATGTTGACAGCAGCCAACCCAGCTTATTTTTTTTCTCTCATACTTTGAATCCGTCCCACAGTCTGAAGCAGACATTATATAAGGCTTTCAACCCTTCTGGTTTATTTAAAGATCCGTGTTACTGAAATGTAATTTTGCTGCTGTGGCTTGTTAATAAAAGGGAAAAAAAGAAAAAGTTTGCTTGAACCAGCAAAATGCCAATGCTAACAACTACGCTTTGTAACTATTGCTTACTACAGCCATTATGAATTCGCTCTGATTTATTTTCCCATTCTTTTCCTGTTTCAAACCTCTCTGTGCCCCTGCAACCTTCTTTCCTTTTCCTCCGTCTCTGCCTCTGGTTTTGGCAATTAATATATCAGTGCATATGGGTCTGTCTTTCTTCTGTGTATGACTCTACATTTCTTTGTCTATTTAGACTAAACAGTCCACCGGTGAAAAAACCTTGGATGGTTCAGATATCTTCACTTTAATAGAGTCCGCCAGAAAACCGACTGAGTTCATAGGAGGGGTTACTTCTACTTCCCATAGCTGGGCTCAGGTGGCCGTTTGATTCCGTCCATCAGTGTTATAACCACACACCAATTACTTTTGCTTTTCTTTTGTTTCCTGGTTTTTGCACAATTCAGAACTATGTAACTAATGCATGTATTTGTGTGCCTTTTCATTTGCTACAATAGACCACAATGGAATCTTCACCGAAAAGAAAAAAATCAAAACCAAAACAAAGCAGGTTTTCTCTCATTTCACTTTATTTTTTGGTCATTTTGCAAGGTGCTGTATTTTGCCTTTATAAAACTCACGCAGAAACGCCACGGAGAAAACACTGACTTTGATACTTCTCTACATTCTTAAAAAAATCATGATCCTTGCTTTGTTTTCCATTTCTAATATACTGATGACACCCTGAGAATGAAAATCCATGCAACGTGAGAGAAATAAATTGGCAAAATATAATACCCATGTTTTTTAATTTATGTTCACAGTACGTTAAGCTGAGGAGCTACTGCAAAAAATGTTGTCTGCTTCTGACGCTGAAGGTTTTTTTCCCCCTTCCCTGCAGAGAATAGACACGACGACGTCTCAGGAGATAACTTCCAGTGACATGAAGCAAGCAGTTGAGCAGCATCAGGATACAGTGCAGAAGGTTGTACAGGAGACTGTAGTTGTCAAGGAGAGACATGGGATGGAGGTGCATGCAGGCGGGGATCCTGCTAAAGTGGCTGGACTTGCGCTGGATGCCCAGGCTGAGGCAGCGTCGGCGGTGGCTGCCGGCGTGAAAGGGAAGGAGGGATCTGCTGGGACTGAGGGGGCGAAGGAGGAAAAAAGGGAGGAGGCTGGGAAAGCCCTAACCAAACAGGAAGGAGTCGGTGCCGCTGCTTCGTGTGAGCAAGCGGAGGAGCACAGAACAACAGAGTCTTTGGAAAGAAAACCTCATTTTGAGGTAACTCGTTATTGAATCAGTCATGTCTGTGCTGAATTGCAAATGTAGGCAATAGTGGACTAAGTGAATTCCTGTAATGGAAAGTAAAGAGTGCCAAGCTTGTATGATTTCATCTTTACAGCAGACAGTTTGTTTCTTCTCTTATTTCCTCCTTGTGTGGCACCTGCAAGGCTTGTTGCTTGTTTCCATCATTGGCAAAATGCCATGCATGTTTTACCTAAAAGCGCTTTTCATGCTACAGAGAAAGACCTAATTTCATGGCATTTTATACAAAAGATAACAAGAATTCAGCTGGCATTTTCTTCGGGCAAGTCTGTCAAGACTGGCAAAATTCATGTGTCCTCTAAGACAGGAACTAGATTGGTTTTTCCATGCTTGGTACAATTTCAAGTAAGTGTACTGTGTCTTAAACAAGACAGGTTCCTTATCTTAGCCCGTTTAGGAGAATTTCCAGAGCTGTTTTGCAGAGGGGTTTTGTTGCTGTTCAGCTGCTGAAAGCTAAACAGAAGACTAAGCCATTGCCTTATTATTTTAAGAAAATTTAGAATCAGAGAATCCCAGAACATTTGAGGTTGGAAGGGCCCTCTGGAGGTCATCTGCTCCAACCCTCTGCTCAAGCAGACACACACAGAGTTGGTTGCTGCCCAGGACCATGTCCAGAGAGCTTCTTCTTAACTGCAACCTGTGCCAGTCCTTGATCCTTTCACCCTCACAGTGAAAAGGTGTTCAAAGGGAACTACCTGTGTTTCAGGTTGTGCCTATTGCCTCTTGTAGTGTTCAGAACATTTTTAAACTTTGTTTTCAGGAAATCTAGGAAAGTGCTAAATGTTGCTAGCATTATATACATGCATGTACCACTGTAATGAGGAGAATCTTCTCCTTTTTTTTTTTTGTTTTGTTAAATGCAGAACACTTAATTATTCTTTCTTTTCCCAAGGAAAGAAAAACGTTCTGAGAAATCCATAAGCTTTGCTAAACATTCCAATTTTTTTTTTGTTCATGCAGTCGCCCGTTGTGAAGACTGAGACTGTCAGTTTCAGCAGTGTTCCCACTGGTGGGGAAAACCTTGAAATTTCAACAAAGGAAGTGCCAGTAGTCCATACAGAAACAAAAACCATTACATATGAATCTTCTCAGGTAAGAAATTCTGCAAAAGACATGGTCTAATTTAACATGCCCTTAAGGGACCCATGTTTCTTCACCCATGTTTAAATGCATGCCTTAGTGTAAACTAAGTTGTTCAAGTATTAGATATTAGCATGAGGAGGATGTACATAAGAATAACTTACCTGAGGGTGACTCTCATGGTCTGGTGGGGGCCCTTTTGATGGCATTGATGAAACTACGGATTTAAAAGCCCTGGTGTCTCATCTGTGCTTCCAGAAGAGAATGGGAGCCTCCAGATGCAGAGAGATGATCACCCTAATGGAAATCATTTTGCTACCATTAGATACTCACTTTATGAAGAACTGTAGAAATAGGAAAGGTTAGCAGTCCAGTTCTTGCCTCCCTGTGCTCAGGGGAATGTTTCCAATGACTGATTTTCTCTTCTGGTTTCTAGGTGGATTGCGGTGCTGACTCTGAACCAGGTGTATTGATGAGTGCACAAACTATCACGTCTGAAACCACCAGCACTACAACCACTACACATATCACCAAAGTGAGTCCTCAGAAAACAGGGAGTTCTTTTTTGACCAGACTCTGTGCTTTCTTGACTTCAATTCCATGGTTTATTTTAACATGTGGACACATGCTTCTACCCTCTGGACAAAATTTTCTATGCTTTGGGTACCTCTCTTCATTCACCTGTCTTTGGCTATACTGATTGATTATTTGGCTGTACTATTTGATATACTTGGCTATATTGATTGATTATTTGCCTGTACTGATTGGTGGCTATACTGATTGATTAACACATCATCCAAGGACTTGACAGGAGTCCTGAGAGTCATAAACCCTTAGGGTATGTCCGAGCAAGCACAGAACCTTGCTGTGCAGTGACTTGATGTAGCTGCAAATATTGTCTGGAACTGAAAGCAGTATAGATGCATTGGCATCATATCATGGCCTGGAAAGAATAATTTGCCTCATCATGAGGCTCCATTGACATAACTGTACTGCCTCTGAGTCCTGAGCGATTACCCCTGCACAGTGTAAAAAGCACATAGTATGTCTGTGTCATGTAGTCAAAACAGGACATTCAGTCAGCTCAGGCAATACAGTCACATTGCTGGATGGTACCCTGAGGAACTTATCCGCAGCCAGACTGAAAGCTGCACAGACAAATGATGTTGGGTCTTCCAGCTTCCTAGAGAGCATCTCAATAGCAGTTCCTCCCTAAGCAGAAACCCTCATAGTGCTATGACAGCTCCCCTACCAATATTCACTGAGAACAGGATTTCATCTTTCTGCAGTGACGTTCACTCTTTTGTAGATGAGCCATACAACAGCCGTACCACCCTGTATGTCCTTCTGAAGCTTGCAGTTGCACTTAAATAGGTCTTAATGTGGGCTGTCTGTGTGCCCATTCTGTCCCTCATGGGGCAAAGTTAGCATAAACACCTGCCAATTTTAACATATAAACATCCCTCCTGATACATGTGCAGATTGATTATCATCATAAAATTATCTGTGTTGGAAGGACCTCTGGATGTCATTCAGAGCAGGCTGACTGCAGAGCTGCTCAGGTTGCAGTTCAAGGTCGTCCCCTCTGCATGTGCTGTTTGAGACAGTTGTGTCCAGTCACATCTGTGTTCCTGTGCTGATCATTCTCTGGATGAGTAGCAGCACTCTTTGAAGTACGTTACTGACATGAGTTTGTCCCTCCCATCTAGACTGTGAAAGGAGGCATCTCAGAGACAAGAATTGAAAAACGAATAGTCATCACAGGAGATGCAGATATTGATCATGATCAGGTAAAATCTGTAAGCTGATAAAAAGGCTACCCTGAAGACTGCCAAAAAGAACATTTCTAAACATTGTTTTGACAGATAGTTATTCATACTGGCATGCCTTAAATTAAACTGGATTAGTAATTAAATCAGTGATGGTATATTTCATATTTTAATCATTTTCCTCATTTGTAAATTGTGTAATATCTCATGAATCTCTCCACCTTGCTACTGATCATGCATGTTCCACCTCCTTTTTGTTTTTGCCCTTCTGTGGTTTCCTTGGGATAGGCGCTGGCTCAGGCAATTAAAGAAGCCAAAGAGCAGCACCCTGACATGTCAGTGACCAAAGTAGTGGTACATAAAGAGACAGAAATCACACCAGAAGATGGGGAGGATTGACCACAGGTAAGAGGACTAGATGATTTTCCTAGGCATTTACTGGACTGGCATGTTGCAAATGTTTTCCTACCATATTTCACCTCTAACTCTTTGCTTTCTTTTGCTGGCATTTACAAGTTGCATTTGTGCTGGTTATCAGTTTTGGTGTTTGAATGTAAACCACATTCAGCTCTAAACATCTGTCTTCATTTAATGGTGCCAGCTGGAGAAAGAGAAACAACTCATTTGCTTCCGTTGGCTCTCTGGAAAGTCCTCATTGTCCACGCTTTGTTATAGTCCAATTTTCTAATTCTGGAGTCAGAAAAAAACCTGTTGTCTGCTTTTATGTCATTTAAGAACAAAAATAATTTGTTCTTAAAGGTGTGCATTTTGATTTTAAAATGCCAAGGGAAGAACCTACAGCTGCTTTTTAAATGTCCCATGCAGATATGTAACAAGTTAAGCTTTAATTACTGACTTGCAAAGGTATGTTCCAACTTGCTTTTAAATGCAGTGAATTAGTATGTCAGTATTTGGGTGTCTTGGCTTTCATGTATTTGAAAGAGCATTTTATGTTTTAAAGCAGCATTGTTTATCAGGATGAGATGATAATGCAGCTTTTCTTGCATCAAGCTCTTTTTCAGTAAAGGCATGCTCTCCAGTAGTGGCTGGCTAAACAGACCCCTTAATGTTCCTATATTTATTCCGTGTGCAGAAACATGTCATGCATACTAACCTGCTATGCAAAAGCTGTTAATGCCAGCACCATTGCACAAATTGCTTTGAACGCTGTATGCAGAAGGGGAAGAAAAAGCTGCTTGCCAGATTTGTTTGAAGCAATAGCAGCATTTTATTCTTAAAACAATGTGTATTCCCTAGCACTTGGTGTAAGTAACAGAGTATAATGCACAGCACCTTTTGAAGCGCTTTGGCTCTCCTGCTTTTGGATATACAGACCCTAAAGAAAACTGAATTTCAGTGTCAGTTATTTATTTGGAAGATGGAACCAGTCACTAAGGAGTGAGTAGCTGTGATTCTTGTGGTATTCTGCTAATTGTTTCAGAGACAGCTCAATGTGGCTTGCTTAAAAGTCTGTTGATGTCACTAATTCTTTCTGTTGGCATCAGTGGACTTTGAATTTGGTCCAAGTTGCTTATACTGGGATGATGCTGTTTCCAAATAGCTTTTCTTACACAAACAAATTGGCAAAATCTCTTTTGCAAGACAGTGGTTGTTTCAAATAATTAACTGAGTTCTCTTTTCTGCAGGAATAACCTAGATTGCATCTGAATCCAGACATGCATACCAGTAGGAATACGAGAGCCTATACGGAGTCTCAGTTCCAACCTGACTGACTTGTATCTGTCTATGGAAAATTTCAGTACAGAAGAATTGATCTTGACCGTTAATAAAGAAACTGGCAGAGATACCTTCCCATAGAAAGCAATCTGAATCAGCAGCAGTTAAACAATATTGCATGAAGCAACAATAAAATTACAGAAAAGCAGCATTTTTAATTTTCTTAAAATGTCTAAGTTTTCAGCTATACCTGCACGTTCATAAACAATATAAACAGTGATCTCATGTAACACATAAAAAATTCATGCCTTTCACAGTTTCTGAAAGTCTAAACAAATTAAAATTTGTTAGGTGGCAAGCCTTTTGTTTATGGATATTGTAAATGAAGATTACCCCCAAAATGCTAGAAGCTGTATAGGTACCACACATTAGATGTGCCAATAACACAGTTTATTCAGTAAACAACTTGAATCTTATATTTGTTTCATCTGGTTTTATTACTGCCCGATAAACGATGACGAATCTTTACTCTTATCAAAACATTTAAATGCTTACAAAGTGTGCTTTGTATACCTGACTGAATACCTTATGAGGTAGTAATGATTTTAGTATATTAACTTTCATGATTTTTGTCAGCATTGTTCAGAGTCAGCTTCCAGTCACCCTTCACAGATCCTAACCTTGTAAATTATATGTAGTTATTTTGGAGAAAAAAAAAAAGAAATCTGTATTTTACTTAGTTTACAACATTAGAAAATTATTAATCTGAAATAACCGTGATGGTTTTCTATTGATTTCCCTTTTGTTCTCAGAGGAAAAAAAAAATCTGTTTGAGAATCTGGTCAGCATTTACTATCTAGTTCAGAGTCAAGCCTTAACCTGTACAGAACGTCCACTGAAAACTCGTTAGTGTCCAGCTCTAATACCCACTGGAGGGATAGCATCCATTACACTGTCAGCTGCATCACAACACATGGTGAATGTATGTTTCTGCATAGTGAAATAAAAGTGGTAAATGCATCTGAAATTGTATTGTTCTGTGTCTAAAAGCACCTAGTGGTTTTTAATATTCAAAACATCAAAATGTTATATTTGTAAGACACCACAGGTTTTACTCGTGCACAGTAGACGTGTTTTGTCTTCAGCGGCTGACACTGCACTGTGCAGACAGTGGGAGTTAGCAGAGCACCCAAAGGGTGACAGTGGTCACCTTTGGGCATATGATGTTTGCAAAGGAAAAGGACTGTTTAGTTCCTTCTGTTTTCTCTGCTTGTGTAACATTTCACCGAAGCTAAATGAAGGATTTTTATGGTTGCTTAGAAAATAAAGGCCAGTAGCGCTGGATCCAGATCCACTCTCTTTTTGTACTTTTGCTCTGAAACGTGGATAAAATTCTCTTTAAAGCAGTTCTTACTTATCTGTTCCTTTTTCTTGCTCCTTTGCCACATCTCTTTGACACTCCCCTGGTAGCTTAAGAGAAATCCGTAACAATTAATCCACCCTTCAATCTGTATTTCCTTGCAGGATTAAAAGAAAATGGGTACAAGCAGACTTTTCAGGACATAAAGGGCCAAATTTGCCCTTCACTGTTTACACGGGGCTCCCTCCCATTGAAGTCAATGGATTTGGCTTCAGTGGAGAGCAGGATTTGACCCAGTGACTTGTTAATAAATGTTTATTTTCTTAATTTAGAAAGAAAAATAGTATATATATAGAGAATAACCTGTAGATAATACTTAAAAGTAATATCCCAAGGCTTTTAAAGCTTTGCCCTTAGTCTCTAAAACGTCTTCCTTCCACCAGCCATTCTTCATGCCTTTAAATCCAGAGTGCTAATGATGTAACCCCACCCCCACCCCTGCTGCCGTCATTGCTTACCCCTCACCTCACGACCGACGCAAAGCTGACGGTCTGTTGTGATCTTTGAAGGCCCTCTCCTCCTCCTAGTCCAAGAGCATCTCTGTTCTCATCCCTCTGGGTGACAGTAGGCTCAGCTCTCTGGTGCTGCCAGTGCCTGGTGGTGGTTGAGGGTGGAGGAGGTCCTCGCCCCATGTCTCAGTAGATGGCATGCCAGGTTCTCACTGCTGCATCAGGAGTTTGTACAGACTCTTAAGCCATAATGATCCTCCCTCAGGTGCCCCTCATGTTGTCAGCTAAGAAACAGCATTGTATTACCTCAGAGAGACACGAGGCGATTGCACAGCCTTCTCTACAGAGTTAGCGTTATATTTTAGCATGGCTTGAGGAGACTGTACTCTGGTGATCCTGCACAGTATGTACGCCGTCTAAAGATATTGTATCACAAGAAGTTAGTCTCCTTGGAAAGGACACTTACTGCTAAGCTATGGCCTAAGCGCATACAAACAATGGGGAGATGAGAGTGGACAGGCAAGGACATCTCAGTGCCACTGTTGGTAGTAGACCCTTGTTGGGGGACGGTTCCTGAAAGTGATAGCTTTGGTTTTTGTTAGAAACTGTTTCTTGGGTTGTCTGCCTAATGCTGTGCCACATGAAATAAAGAGCACCTGCCTGTTTCTACAAATCATGTTCTGTCTCTGTGTCTTCTCATTTATCGTTGGTCTTTGTCTGGCTTCTTGACATAAAACAGCTTAGAAAACAAACCGTCAAATATTGTGTTACTTGAAAATAGCATTGACAATATAGACCCAGAGAGAGCCTCACCTGCTACAGCTGGAGTCACAGCTTCAGCCCCATGAGAACTGGCTGCTCTGCACTGTTGTGGTAAGGGACACAGATGGCCAGGCAGGGCTTTCACACCAGGCAAGAATGGTCAAAGCAAGCCATCACAGCAATTGTGACCATTACAGATGCAGAAAGAGTGAACAAGTACCTCACCTTGGCATTTTAAGGCTGTTTGGAATAATTTGACATTTATTCCTCTGAAGTTGTTTAAGGCTGTCTCATCACAAATGGCAAATTATGATGTTTCTATGCTCAAGCCTATATAAAAAATATAATTTATTTGGCTTCTAAATCCATATATGAGATCAAAGCAAGGGTTTAACAGCTTAGCTTTACTCCTTCCAAGAACAGATTTAGGGAGATGGTGAGATGATGTGACTCACCTGTACAACAATTTGTATTTGCTGAAATGATAGCTCCTTATAAATAGTTGTTCATGATAAATAAATTGGACATTGAGACCAGGCTTCAGTTTGGCAATCACACTGGCAGGTCTTGCTCTAGTTTTCTTGCCTTAAACCAAAATAGTTCCGTCTGTTAAGATCAGAAGGCCCATTTACAAACTTCACCTTACATCTTCCCTCTTCATAGGTAATAAGGGTAAGGTAAAGAAATGTGTTCCCCTTTTTTATGTAGGAACAATAATGATCTGGATTCTGCAGAGCTAGGAATCAAACCTTTATTTGTAAAAATTTTTCCTAGTCTACTAAAAATTTGTGATGTGCCTGAGGCAATGCTGAGGTACGTCACATGAGTTTTGTGTGTGTGTTTGTTGAACACAACAGCAGCACATGCTATATACCATATTGCCCCCCAAATCCTGCAAAGTCAACCACATGTTCAATCAAACCGACCAGCATCACTTTTATATTGTTGTTTTATATTGTTAGTTACCCTACAGTCAGAGACTCTATGCAAAAAAACTGTCTCAAATAAACAAAGTTCAAACTAATACCGAAAGAAACTCCATTTTCATTTGACTTTAGCTATTATAAAGCATTAAGAAAGGCATTTTTCAAGGTATATATGTCCCAAACTTTCACCATTTTGAAGACTGAAGTCTTCTGTATTGTTAATTTTAAGGAAAATCCTCAATTGGGCAATTCCCCATTCCCAAGTCTTAGATCCACTTTCTCCTGAAGTACATGGAAGAATAGCATTTGGCTAAGAGAGGAGGTTAAAAACAATTGTTAGATTCTCTTCATTATGTAAAAAAGCAGACACTTGCTTTCAAGTATTTTCTGTTGCCTTTGAACTTCCTTCAGTTGACTCTACTGATGTAGACTCTTGAGATGCCTTTGCAATTCCTTTTGCTTCTGGAACTCACTGTCTAGTTACAGGCTTTCAGTGTTGATGTTTCCTATGCCCATGTATTTATCAAATGACACCAAACAAACTCTTCATTGAGTGGATTAAGACCAAACTCCTCTCAAACATCCATCCTCTCATAGGATCTAGGGCTGGATGAACATGAAGAAAGGCTTTCACTGAAGCTGAGTTGGACCTCCTGCAGTCTTTATAGATGCCAAGGAATAGTGGTGGTTTGAGGTACTGTGTATGGACTATGGGTGGACTAATGGATGACTATGAGAAATGCTAACTCCTTTGCTTATGTTATTTTTAGAGAAAGAAGAAATTAAGCACTTTTCTTAAATCTATGGATTCCAAAGACTATATTGTTTTTACCCTGCAAATAATGGTTTGTTGTGCCTTTTCTCACTAGTGTTACACCACATCAGCAAAGTCTGTCTGTAGTTGCTCTGGGTTCCCTCATAGCAACACAAAATACCAGCCTTCCTTATAAAACCTTGGTCATACACTTAAAACCACCAGTATTAGTTACACATCTTTTAGCTTTGTCTCCAGGATTTATGTTTAAATAAACAGCAAGGCATATTGTTGTTAGTTTTTCTATAAAAATACTTTCCACAAGTTTCTATACTGATTAACTGAAACCAGATTATTCCATTATCTTGGAAGTACTGTTAGCCATTGTTCATACTGTCAGTTACTCTGGTTTATGCCATTTGATTCCACCTCCACCCTTTTTTCTGTCTCCCATTCAACATCAGTTCTGCTTCTCAGCTAGAACTAATGGCTCCTGTAAAGACTGTTGGAGCAGAATTTCAGAAATCCTTGTTTAAAGGAAAACCGATATGCTCAAATTATGCAAAAATGTCAGCCAACTCTCTTCCATCATCTTGTGTTCCCAAATGTACCTACAACCTTCATAAATCAGTGACCTCACTCTTGCAACTGAAATGACCATCACTCACTGTAAGCAGGATTAATGGCCTGTCTTTGAGAACGACTACAGTGACATAAATGGGAAAAGAAAAATGAGAAAGAGTACTGACACTAGAAATTGGTTTCATTTTTAGAGACATTAGACTTTTATCTGCACAGTCTACCAGCTCTGTTTTCAACAGTGCAAAACTTATATAAGAACCTTTTATTCTTAAGGGTGTTTTTGTCCAGAGTTTACTAGAAACAACCAAAGCTTGGGCAATATCGACTAATCAGAACTGCAAAATGCAGATCCCAGAACATGTGGAGCTTTGGAGCTGCCTGAATCACTCACCCAGAATGATGTGTTACACTGCCTTACAGTGCACATGTTAAGTGCTGGTCATGTGTTATTTGGTGGATAATCCTGGGTGACTGTAGTGTAAAAGGTACAAGGTTAGACAAAGCACATTAAAGGGCACAGGGAAGGGTATCATAAATCGTTCAACAGAGCAAAGAAGAAAACTAAAGCAATATATCTGAGTGTACAACGGCCAACCATTAAAAATCCTTCAAAGCCTCTTCCAGTAGGAAGAGTCCAGCTAATATGATGCTACTGCTTCCTTAAATCAAGAGCGTTACTAGCACAGATGTCCTTCCTTGGTGGGTTTGGAAGGCTGTTTCTCAGACATATTGGTTTTCTGGCTAAACAGTTGATGGATTTGGCATACAAAGCCTTCTAAAGGCATTTATATTCCTTTAGGCCAATATCCAGTCAGTATACAACTCAGATAAATGTGAATGTTTTTATATAGTTGCAGAGGTGTTGACAGTTTAGCTGTTCATCTTTAGAGCTCCTAAATCCCAAGGTACTGGAATAAAACACACACATTTCC